AAACTGCTCTTGTAATAAGCAAAAAACAAAAAAACAAAAACAAAAAACAAAACCTGAACTCTGAAATAATAGACATCTGCTGATCATACAATTGTCTAATTTGAGGTCTACAGGTCTACTGTATAGTGAATGATTTTTTTCTTTAGAGACGTGTTGTATTAACTATTACCAGTAAGTTCATATGTGCTCTGATTAACATTAGCCTATATTATTATATTGTATTATTTTATTTAAACTGTAACTGTGAATATATTTGGACGCTCCATGTTAGTCACTGAATAGGCTTACATGATTTTCAATAGATTTTTAGATGATATTGCTTGAAAAGTGAATTATAATGAGTGCTCAAAGAAAAAAAAAACTCAATTATTTATGCTGTTTATTTTATTATCAAAGCCTATGTGATAACATAACCTGAGGCTAAAAGCTGTGATATTAATGTTGTCCACTAGAGAGAGCCACAATATAAGGAATAGGCCTATTTGAAGTTTATTTTGAAAAATTAATTTCCACACTTTTGAACAGCAATAAATGTATATAACAATTTCATTTAACTATGATGTACTGACAGTATAGTTTTATATAATCAGTGGACATTGCTTATCCCAAAGATTTTCCAATTGTTTAAATTTTCCTAAATGCTGTCTTAGTTTTTCTCGATTACTAACACACAATTCATGAAACAATTCACCACTTTGTCACAACTATAAACACATTCTCGTGACAAACAAACTTGTACAAACTTCCATGTCAAAATCAAACATTCCAGTCAAAAACCCTTACTTCTGTGTTCTGTCAATATCAAACTTTGGCCTCTTTATTTTTGCTCAGAACAAAACAAAACAAAAAACACTAATCTATAGCACTTAAGACATTTGACAAAATCACACACAGAACTGGCAAAAGGTACTGCAGATGACAAGGCGCAGATGCCATGTAGCTTCTCACGTATCTTCTCAGGCAGCTTCTCAAGCTAGAACGGGGGTGACGAAAGTGTGGCGCTTCTTATCACGGCAAGGTACGCAACGTAATTGGTCACGGTTTCTGCTCACGGCAAGGTACGAGACGATCGACACGACTGATTGCTTAGTTAGCAAAGTAAGTGCTTAAATCACACCCCATAGAGATACAGGCTAAAATAAGTGCATGACTCATGATTCTGAATCACGTCGTTTTTGCGTCACATACCTGCATGAACTATTGAACGACACTGTCACAGCCAAAGTCTGCGTGTGCGCAGTGTGTCGCTGAAGCACAGAGACTCTGAGTCACCGACAAACTCCAAACGATCAGTGGTGGCGGTTGCTGAAATCTGTGCAGTTTGTACAGGTTAAATAGAAACTAATTTTATTGATGGAAAAAATATGATTATTACTAATATTATACTATTACACAATATGGTGATTTCTTGGAGTACAAAATAAATATATGCATATAAATATATGATTAAAACATGCTGAAAAGCTAGTTCATGCATGACCTATAGACTGGACTACTGTAATGCACTGCTAGGTGGCTGTCCTCCTGTATCTTCAATAACAAGGTAGTTCAAAATGCAGCTGCTAAGAGTCCTTACCAGGTCAAGAAAATATGATCATATTACCCCAATTTTACAATATCTTCACTGGCTACCTATTAAGTTCCATATCAGTTAGGCTACTACTTACTTATAAGGCCCTAAATGGTTAAGCTCCTGCGTACCTAACCAGTCTTTGGTCACACTACAATCCATCATGCTCCCTAAGGTTGCAAAGCTCTGGTATTTTGGAAGTACCTAGGATAGCAAAGTCCACTAAAGGAGGTAGAGCTTTTTCGCATTTAGCTCCCAAAATCTGGAATAGCCTTCCTGATAATGTTCGGGGTTCAGACACTCTCTCTCTCTCTCTTTTTAAATCTAGATTATCTCTTTAGCCAAGCATTCACATAATGTATCTCATAACCTTGTGCTCCAGTTATATCTGATCAAATGCACATTATAATTTTTTGCTTGGTTAGAATTGGCTTCTCTGTTTCTGCCACGGGATGGGAATCCTGAGGTAATTAGGAACAATAACTCAAGTTTCAGTCTGGATCCAGCCCTTACGAAGATCTGAGATGACTGAACACCTGAGAAGAGAAGATGCCTACCCTCAGAGAACCTCAGATGACGCCAACCCTGATCCAACATACGAAACTACCAAATTTTCCTAGAAGTTCGATCACAATATATATTCATTGCTGTTAATAGTGTTCACCGTCTGTTTGATTACATGTCATTAACGAACTGCATGATTTTTTTTTTCTGTACATTTCTGCCATATGGACATCACCTTGACACCACTGATAAGCTTCTCCTAAATGTAATGTAGAAACTTTCATTTTCTGTGAAGCTGCTTTGCAACGATTTGTATCGTGAAAAGCACTATTCAAATAAATGTGAAAAAAAAGAGAGACTTGGAGGAATAAACAGTAGACATTTCCTTGACAAATCTGAGCCAGCAAATGAGGATAGATTGTTTCAGTGAAGTTTATTTAAGCCCAAGCACTTTAAATTCATTCATCTCATACATCCTCTTAGATACATATTTACACATATACACAGATACGAGTCTAATACAGGAAAATATTTTAATTTCAAATGAAAATACAGAGAGATAAGACTAACATGCAGCAATGTGCCATTTAAAATTTAAACAAAATAACAATGAATTTTTGTATTGCTGAACATGTTAAAAAGAGAGTACAGTTATGGGGACAAAACATTTAAGCTGTGGTCATCAAAAATGGCAGAAATCATGGTAGTTCATTCCTTGAATAAATCAGCTGATTTGAGGAATATTGATATAGATTAACTCTGTCGAGCTTTATCAAGAAATACTTATTTGACAAAAGGTTCTGACCATTAAAATAAGTCTTACAAAAGCTGAATGATGGTTACTACATGCCAATTATCGCTTTCCAGACATTACATTTTGAACGAACCAAATTAAACAATCTGTGGTGACAAAATAAATTACATAAAATGCGAACACAATTGGTATGTTGTTACTGGAAAATTATAATAATTGTACACAAATGGTGCAGAAGTCACAAATACAATGAAATACATTTCATTTAATTTTCATGACAACAATAGTGGTCATAATATACAATATGTATATATATTTATACTGTTTTAATGAAAAACATGATAAAAGTTAATATCTGTACAAATCTTCTTTTACAGGAAATAATTTAAACTATACAGCGGTTTTAGATTAATACATAGTGAATAACAGGACTTTTCACCGGGCATAACCTCAAGAATCTTTATCCTATAAAACATAATTTCATTGTCTTGCTGCTACAGCAAATCAGACAGAAGCTTCAGACGCCAACAAAGTCAGACATTCCAAAAAGACACTGATATTCTCAATGCAAGATCAATAAAACCAGTGGAAGCTCATGTGGTTGTACATTAAAGTTCAATGAGAGTCCTTTTTATGTATATTTAAAGACTTTTAAAGCCGCAGGCTGCGCTGATGTTAATGCCGACTCGACCAAGAGCCCTTTTCGCTTTTAATCTTTGAGGAAATGCATGCAGATGTGAAACAAACAGCATCACACTGATACTTTCAAAGTAAAGTAAAATTTGAAAGGGGAACAGAAGACACTTTTTCTCTCTCTCTTATGAAGGAGAGAAGGTTGAGAAAGTGTGACGCTCTATATAAAATATATCCTGAATAGTGCATATTGACTGCAGAGGTCAATTCCTTTCTCGGCTGATGAGGTTAAATACAGTACAAAGACTCGAGGAGCTTCAGTAGAAAGTGCACTGTGTAGGAGCTGCCACAAGGCGGTGGAGCAGCGGCTTCAGGCTTTGATGTCTGAGAAGCTTGTGTAGGTTTCACTGCAGCTGGAGGACGTGCTGAGGTTTCCAGATCCACTGCCTTCTGTGAGAAAACACACCTACTTATTTTAACCAAAATACTCATTCATAAAATGAAGATTTCATGACAGGGATTTATTCTGTGGTGGATGAAAAGCGGGAAGTTGTGTTACCTGAGCTGGAGAGAGATTGAGAAGATTTGGATTCTCCGATGAGAGTGAGCAGGTTTGCAGCAGGGACCCAGCCCTCCTTATTGGTCCGCAGATTACGTACAAACCTGAAGCAGCACAAAAACATTAATATCACACCAGCCTCTGCTTACAGAAGATGTTATGCGGTTCTGATTTGGTCATCTTAAAACATAAAACTGAGCCCAGACAATAATGTACAAGTGAAATTTACTTGTCATCAGAGGTGTCAAGTAACGAAGTAAGCTAGTATCTATACTTCTACCTGAGTAATGAATGTGAATACTTTTGACACCAGTGCTTGTCATCCATAACAGGATCCAACACTCAAAATGGCAGAATGGATCTCGATATTTAAAATTTGTAGGCAAAAAAAAAAAAAGCAAAAAAAGTTGTCAACCTCAGCAAACTTTGACTTGCAAGTAATAAAATGTATACATTAGAATTTATATGATAAAATAATCTAACAATATAAACTTACTTAAATGCTAAAAAAAAACCCCCCACAAAATCGAAAACATCAAACTTCAAAATTTTTGTTTCCCATCAATAATTATTGAGTTTATTGAAGAACAAAGTTCTGGAATGCAGAACAGATCTTCTGGAATCACAAGATTGAGCATGGTCAATTAATTCAGTATAATACTAAATTAACCATGCAAATGAAATAGTTTCAGTTTAAGCACTATAATAACTAACTGGAAATAAAAACTACTACGACTAAAACTGAAATAAAAATCGAATTAAAATGTCAAAAATAAATTCAATAAAAAGTTAAAACATTAATAAAAACTACAATAGTATATAATTAATACACTGATACAGGACAGTCATAATTGTTTAGCTTGAGCATTTATTTCAATTAGTTGATTCAATAGAAAAAAGATCCATTGATTTCAATTGCTGATTTATTGAAAACCACAAAAGGATGATCTGCTTATTGAGTCATAGTGGTTTGCAATGTGTAACATGAGGAGGAGTAAATGATGACAGACTTGTCATAGTATTTACATAATCCTGAATCTTACCAGCGTCCATCGTCTCCCTCTCTCACCAGCTGCACTGTATCTCCACTCTTAACCGTCAGCTCCTGTGGTCCGCTTTTGTCATGGTCAGCAATGACCACGTACCTGCCTGGAGACTACATGCGCACACAAACACCATCAGTGGCCAAACTAAAGATTTCTGCAAACAAACATGGATGGGACACAAGAAATTGTGACGCTGGGCCACCATGACTCACCAGTTTTCTCTCTCCCTCATCCTCAGGATCAGAGTTCATGGGATCCTCAGCACTCGAGTAACCGTCGTTCTCCTCAGATGCATCCACAGACAGCGATGCCTTGGAGAAGCCTTGTGGAAGAGAGGACAAGTTAAACGAATGTGTCATTTGGATTATGGTGAAACAATGAAAGAGAGGGATAAGTGATACTCCACAAAGATGGTGTGTGTGTGGAAGGTGAAAAAGAGACCAGCTCTGTTTCAAAACCTAGTTAGCTATTTTGCTGCCTACAGCTTACATAGTCTTCTAAGGCAGCGTGCTAAACATTTACACAAGCAATAATGCACCACATCAACACATCAGTTCCTAAAGTAAAACTCTTGGGTTTTCAAAAGAGTTTGGCATTACATCTTGCTAAGCGAACAACACAACAGCATTAAAAAACATAGCTGTAGAAAATTCTCACTCAGATATTGAGAGTAAATTAATTAGAAAGAAACAGAAAGGAACACTGAAACAAAGGTATAACTTTGTAGTAGAAAGAGTGAAATAGTATTTTCTTGTAAATCATACTCCAGTAATCTTTATTTACAACTTCAAATATATATTTTTTTGCAATTTAGTCAACATTACTCTCAATTCGCCATCTTAGATAAATGTTTTAACTGAGACTTTGCATTGGGAGTGACCATATGATGCCTATGTAGGCAGCACACTAAGTTTTGAAACAAATCCAGTGTCTCTTTCTCTCGTATCCACTTGAAAAGAGGAACAGCTCCAGGCACTGAGCTAACAGGAAGAGCTGTTTGTGTTTTATGTTCAGACAGCCATGACTCCGATGATGACAGTTTGTGAAGAGGGCATATGACATTCGCAAATCATACAAAACATGTTTATGGAGAGATACATAAACATTTTTAGATATGAATGCCTGGAAGAGTGTTTGGTAGAAAGGGATCTGTGGTTTCAGAGTCGTAAAAGTGAATCCAGAACTAGCACCGCAAACCAGCAGACAGGAACCCAAACCAGATGCTCATGCCACGTTAAACGCAAGTTTCTCCAAACTAAGGGAAGTGCAAGTTGATATTCTTGCACAAATTGACATGTTCTGGTTTATAAATGTACAAAAGTAGTAATACAGTATTTAAAGGAACAGTTCACCCAAAAATGAAAATTCCATCATCATTTACTCACCCTCATGTTGTTCCAAACCTGTATGACATTTCGTTTTGTGGAAACAAAAGCCTTTTCAATGCAATCTTTTTCATGCAATTACTACAAATGGGAACTGAATCTTTCAAATTTTAATAGGGGTGAAAAAGTATAATATAAATGCAAAAATCTCCTAAATAGCTTTGTATGAGAAACAGGTCGAAACTCCGTATTTTACTGAAAATCGTATTACTTTGAGAAATATTGTAGTTATCAGTCCACTTTGTAAATGAATCATTCTTTTGAGTCGGATCTTTTCAAACAAAGTGACTGATTTGCTTCACAAACCAGTCTGAATGATTCGGTCATGAAACGGACTGAACTGGTTCTCAAGTTCAATTCACTGAATCAAGGATCTGCTTGCAATGATTCTCAAGTCAAAATCTCACCAGAGAGATAGACACCAATTTCACCTTTTTTTTTTTGGCGCTTTCGCTTTATCTTTGAAGCTTGAATGCTTTAGTCTCCATTCAGTGCAAATACATGGAAAACAGCAACCAGTCAATTGTAGAAAAATTCTCCATTTGTGTTCCACAGAAGAAAGTCATACAGATTTGAAACAACATGAGTAAGTAAATAAAGATGATTTATTTTCAGTGAACTGTTCCTTTAAGAGATTATCTGATCATTCTCTCTCCTGTAACAATTATAAGATATGAACTGGGCTGGTTTCACATTCTCCCACAGTAAAGAGCATTTTAGATCGACAGTAGTAATTTATTGAGCAGTTATGTCAAAGAGATGCCATTTTAGCACGGTGATTTATCCTGTAAACCACCAATTACAGTGCAATAATATCATACCCCGTGGTTAGTGTTTGCCAGTCTGTTTGGAAGTTCGCTGTGAGAAAGCAATAAAGACAAAGTTCATTCCCACACCAGGCATCTAGTTACCTCTCCTTTTAGTCTGCAACAGACTAGAAGCACTCAGCCATCTCACTCGGGTAAGAGTGATGTGGGGACCCGTGTCTAAGGGAGAGGCAGCCAATAAGATTTCAAAGACTCCCATCGATTTACCTACTAACCACCCCACAGATCGCTTTTATTGGTTGGGTGTACAGCACTAAAATCAGTTTGTTTGGAATGCTTAAAGGGACAGTCCACCCAAAAATGAAAATTCTGTCATCATTTATTCACCTTCATGTTGTTTCTTTTTTCTTTTTTCTTCTTCTGTGGAACACAACAGAAGATATATTAAAGAATGTTGGTAATTAAAGAGTTCCAATTCCCATTGACTTCCATTGCATGGACAAAAAATACAATGGAAGTCAATGGGAAATGAAACTCTTTGGTTATCAACATTCTTCAAAATATCGTCCCAAACTCATACAAGTTTGGGATGAAATAAAGATGAATAAATTATGACAGAATTATCTTTTGGGTGAACTATCCCTTAAACGCCTAATATAGAAGCATTTTAGTTTTTGATTACTAATATATGGAGGTGAAACAAAATTTGGCAACTACATAATATGATAAAATAAATGATTTGGAACACTGGTCATGGCTGATGTTGGAGGAGGCAAAGCTGGGAGTTTTTAGGGGACAGTGTACCTCTGAAGCCAAACGGTGTAGGATCACTCTTAATCTCATGTCTTTTAGTTTTGTGGTCAGGACTAGGGGGGGATGATCCTGGCAGCCATAGCAAGGAGTGAGAAAGAAAGGGATAAGAGGATAAAAAAAATCAAGAAAGAAGAAGAAAGAGAAGAAGTCTATAATAGGGTTAAAGGAAATATTCTTAAATATTAGAAAGAAAAAAGTGTCTCTTCTACAGGATGAAAGCCTCTAAAAGGCAACATGTCTGGTAAAGTCCTACACTGTGCCTTAACCATCTGCAATGCGATAAAACGTGATAAAGGTTTTTGGAAATTGAACTGGTCCAAAATCCCACTCTCATAACCACATATTAAATAAATATAGTTACAGTGGGGAAAAAAAGTATTTAGTCAGCCACCAATTGTGCAAGTTCTCCCACTTAAAAAGATGAGAGAGGCCTGTAATTTTCATCATCGGTATACCTCAACTATGAGAGACAAAATGAGAAAAAAAATCCAGAAAATCACATTGTAGGATTTTTAAAGTATTTATTTGCAAATTATGGTGGAAAATAACAATCACAATTGGTGGCTGACTAAATACTTTTTTGCCCCACTGTATGGGAGTAGGCAAGTAAGTAAATAAATGGCTAACAATTTCGGTTTCATTGTTGTTCCTGGTTGTTTCACACCTGGTTAAGGCACAGTAAATAGCACTTAAGTAGTGAATGTTCTAAACTGTAATATTACCAAGTTTGAACTATGCTGCTAATCTAGACTATTAAAGTAGTGTATTCTGAGACTACAGTATACCTGGAGGGCAGAGAGTGACCATGGGTAGTGTTAGGCTTTTACCACCAAAGGGCGCTATCAGCTCTGCAGTGGGGTTCAAGCCAAATCTTAGTATATATTCCAAGTTAAAGATTTACAATTTATCCAGTGCCGCTACGATTTGTGCTAAATGTATTGAAGTTAAATGAATATATTTTTTAATACACGTTTTAAATAAAGTTCTGCTAAACATTCTTTTATCATAATGGTTTTTAGAAATGCTTCATCAGTATGCAGTCACCCTGTTTTAAATGTATGATATAGTTGCATTGCCAGTGACCGTGTAAAGCTGTGAGCCCTCCTGCTGTACCTTTTTGACTCTTGAGGTTACTGAAGCCCTGCAGTGTAAAACGTTTTTTAGCCACTGCAGCTCTCTCAGTGGTGGGACTGGTGACATTCTCGTCTATTCTCCACAGAGACAGAGAGAAAGAAAGAGGAAGGGAGCATAATGAAGGATGTTACATGTTTAGTCAGGAAAAAGAAACACAGGGGTTACAAAGACAATCACAGAAATTCACAGTCTAAGCAGCAAGAGGAAAGACAGCAGCATTCTGACTTTTGGGACATATTTAGGGAAACATTAGTCTGGGGTTGACTGACTGATTTCAAATTTTTTTAAAAATATGGAAAATATTTGACCATAGAGTGTGTGTAGTGAGACCGTGAGACCATATCTGTGTATACGGAGAAAGGCTGACTGACCTTTGACCTTGTCATTATTTTTAAGTAAGGTGGCTGTACTGGAATCTGCTGCTGTCGGTTCAGTTTTCTTCTCTTCTCCTTTCTTGAGGGTCTTTGGGTTGGTCTTGAAGGGGCTCAGGGTTAGGCTGGTGCTGGTGGGAGTTAACTGATCTGAGCTCTTCTGCTGGCTCGCCTCTGAAAAACAACATAACATATATAACATATAAACAAAACTGAAAAGTGTGTAATTTCTATATACACTAAAGTTGAAAACATTTTTCATTGTTTCTGAAAACTCTTATTTGATCACAAATAGTTAAAACTGTAATCTTGTAAAATAATTAATTTTAAATAACTGTTTTCTATTTGAATGAGTTTTACAATGCAATTTATTCCTGTGATTGCAAAGTTGAATTTTCAGCATCATTACTCCAGTCTTCAGTGTCACATGATCCTTCCAAAATCATTCTAATATGCTGATTTGCTGATCAAGAAAGGTTTCTTATTATCAATGTTGAAAACAGCTTTTGTAACATTATATATTTACTGTTACTATTGATTAATTAAATTTTTTTTTTTTTTTTTTAATTCTTAAAAAAAAAAATCTATTGATTTCACCTCTGTAGGCCTTTAGTTGTCCAGTTAGAACCTTCCGGATCTCATTCACCCATGCAGTTTTGATCTCTGGTGTCGACGCCTGAAAATAGACTCTCTCTGACCTTGAGACCCATATAACAGAAGGGAAATTTGCTTCATCCTGTTATGATCAATTAACAACAAGCTTAAGTGCAAAAACTGCATATGTTAAGGGCACAATGTAGCAACTGTTGCTTTAATGATCAATAGCAAAGCAATCGTATAAATATTATTGCGTATACATTCAATAAAGCACTGCCTAGAGATGAGATACCTACTTTTCTGCAGTTTCCATTGATGATATCACCCTCTATTGTCTTCTCCCTATGAGCTGGGATAAAAACACACTTACATTAATAAACTAATAAAATAATATATTTTATGTTATATACTGTACACTGCTTTTTGAGTCATGCAATGATCCCTGCAGCTCTCCATTATGAACACTAGATGGCAGGAGAGTAAAGTAAGTGACAGGGTCCACTATATCCATGAGTGACCATAAGTAGCTAATGGCCAGTGCATGTGTATTTGAGTGTGGAGGGGGTTAGGGGACGACATTGAGAGGACACAGACACTACCGCACGGCGGAGGATAGAAGCCACTGCTAAACTGCTCTGTAGAAAACCACTGTATTCAAATGTCGCCTCACTGCATAAAATGCACAACTCATGTGATATTCATTTTATTAGGGGTAAATTCAAAATGAATACTGCTAAATAATTTAGATATTTAGATATCTAAGCAGCCCAGGAACTGAGAGCACAATAGTCCTGAACTTGAACATTTGAGATGAATAAACTTAGCCCAAAATGTTTGTATTATTCAGCAGGATCACAACTAAGTTAGACAACCAACACAACACACACAAAGTCACGTTTAGGGGGTTAACCTGGAGAAGAGATGGGTGGTATGATGATGGCCTCAGGACGTGGGGCGACGGGCTGCACGGGTCGTGTCTGTTTGGCTGCTAACTTCTTCAGACTGACCCTCCTCTTCTCAAACATTTCCTGCATTGACAGCTGTTTCTGAAACACTTTGCCCACCTGTTCCTGTTTGAGCACAGAGAAAACGTTCATTAAACACTAACCAACTAAACCCCCACAAGACATTCACATTCTCAATAGCACTTTAAATAACCAATAACTCAATGCATATGAACAGTAAATATCTGTGTGTAATTAAAAATCTATACACACACATTATGGCCTGGCATGTCAGTTCTGTTTTTTTAATGGTTTTGAGTCTTTTACCTTGAAGTCTTGTGTGAGCACTGACTCATAGTCCCTCCAAATTCCACTCAAATCTGTCAGCTTGTGCTGATTGGCTGTTTCCAGGTAACGTTCAATATCCTGCAGCGCTGACTCCGCCCCATCCTGTGATTGACACTTATCCACAGGCTGAGCCGCTAGCAGGTAGATCCCATCATCACACCATTTAGTGGCCTGGAAGAGAAAGAAGAAAAGAGTCCATGTCCGTCTCTACTAGCTTTAAGAGCATTTGTAATCTAGTTCTATTACTAATTTATTATTTTATAATTTAGTTCTATTCCTCCTAAATTATAAATATGGACTGTGACCTAAACTAATGTCTATTAAATATATAAAATAGGATGATCTATTTGATGACACATCCTGCAACTTCCAGATTCAATAAGAAAAATGTCAACACAGGAAAGAATGCGTAAGGGTCCTGAACAGTGTTGATGAAGGAATCAATGGGTGGGTCTACTGCACCTTCTCTAGACATTGGTGTAGCTCCATGGCTTTGAGCAGATGAGTTTTCTTGGCCTCCAGGACACCACTGATCTCCTCGCACACAGCCCGCAGCTCAGAGCATTTGGGCAGGATGGAGTCCACAGCGTAATGAGATGCTTCAATCAGCTGGTCAGCATCACATGCAAGAGCGAGCGCTCGGTCCAACACCTCCTACAGACAGAGAGAGAAATATTTTATCATGTTATAATATTACGCACACTTCAAAAGTTTATGGTCAAACTATTTTTTAAAGAAATTTTCAGGAACTTTTATTTAGCAAGGATGCAGCTAATATTACAGTAAATAGAATTTATAATAACAGTAGTTAGAAAAGGTTTCTAATTCAAAAAACACTGTTTTGAACTGTTCATCAAAGAATCTTGAATAAATGTCTCATGGTTTCCACAAAAATATGAAGCAGCACAACTGTTTTCAACACTGATAATAATAAGAAATGTTTCTTAAGCAGCAAATCAGCATATTAGAATGATTTCTGAAGAATCATGTGACACTGAAGACTTGGAAAAACTGACAGTGAAAAATTCAGCTTTGCTGGACAAGACTAAATCACATTAAAATATATTAAAAGTCATTTAATATTCAAATAGTTCACAATACTACAGTTTTTACTGTATTTCTGCTCAAATAAATTGTGTATTGGGAACATAAGAGACTTCTAAGACATAAAAAAAAATCTCACTGACCCAAATTTTTGAATTTTTTGAATATTATAAGCATGTAAAATTACATTTTATAATCATGTATAATTGCATATTTTGGTGAAGGTGACCATTTCATTGGCTAATCTTATATAGCTGTTTCTGAAACACTTTGCCCACCTGTTCCTGTTTGAGCACAGAGAAAACATTCATTAAACACTAACCAACTAAACCCCCACAAGACATTCACATTCTCAATAGCACTTTAAATAACCAATAACTCAATGCATATGAACAGTAAATATCTGTGTGTAATTAAAAATCTATACACACATATTATGGCCCGGCATGTCAGTTCTGTTTTTTTAATGGTTTTGAGTCTTTTACCTTGAAGTCTTGTGTGAGCACTGACTCATAGTCCCTCCAAATTCCACTCAAATCTGTCAGCTTGTGCTGATTGGCTGTTTCCAGGTAACGTTCAATATCCTGCAGCGCTGACTCCGCCCCATCCTGTGATTGACACTTATCCACAGGCTGAGCCGCTAGCAGGTAGATCCCATCATCACACCATTTAGTGGCCTGGAAGAGAAAGAAGAAAAGAGTCCATGTCCGTCTCTACTAGCTTTAAGAGCATTTGTAATCTAGTTCTATTACTAATTTATTATTTTATAATTTAGTTCTATTCCTCCTAAATTATAAATATGGACTGTGACCTAAACTAATGTCTATTAAATATATAAAATAGGATGATCTATTTGATGACACATCCTGCAACTTCCAGATTCAATAAGAAAAATGTCAACACAGGAAAGAATGCGTAAGGGTCCTGAACAGTGTTGATGAAGGAATCAATGGGTGGGTCTACTGCACCTTCTCTAGACATTGGTGTAGCTCCATGGCTTTGAGCAGATGAGTTTTCTTGGCCTCCAGGACACCACTGATCTCCTCGCACACAGCCCGCAGCTCAGAGCATTTGGGCAGGATGGAGTCCACAGCGTAATGAGATGCTTCAATCAGCTGGTCAGCATCACATGCAAGAGCGAGCGCTCGGTCCAACACCTCCTACAGACAGAGAGAGAAATATTTTATCATATTATAATATTACGCACACTTCAAAAGTTTATGGTCAAACTATTTTTTAAAGAAATTTTCAGGAACTTTTATTTAGCAAGGATGCAGCTAATATTACAGTAAATAGAATTTATAATAACAGTAGTTAGAAAAGGTTTCTAATTAAAAAAAACACTGTTTTGAACTGTTCATCAAAGAATCTTGAATAAATGTCTCATGGTTTCCACAAAAATATGAAGCAGCACAACTGTTTTCAACACTGATAATAAGAAATGTTTCTTAAGCAGCAAATCAGCATATTAGAATGATTTCTGAAGAATCATGTGACACTGAAGACTTGGAAAAACTGACAGTGAAAAATTCAGCTTTGCTGGACAAGACTAAAATCACATTAAAATATATTAAAAGTCATTTAATATTCTGATATTTCACAATACTACAGTTTTTACTGTATTTCTGCTCAAATAAATTGTGTATTGGGGAACATAAGAGACTTCTAAGACATTACAAAAATCTCACTGACCCAAATTTTTTTAATATTATAAGCATGTAAAATTACATATTTTATAATCATGTATATGTATATTTTTACATATTTTGGTGAAGGTGACAATTTCATTGGCTAATCTTATATATACACACACACACACACATATATATATATATATGTGTGTGTGTGACCCTGGACCACAAAAACTCGCTGGGGTATATTTGTAGCAATAACCAAAAATACATTGTATAGGTCAAAATTATAGATTTTTTTTAATGCCAAAAATCATTAGGACATTACGTAAAGATCATGTTCCATGAAGATATTTTGTAAATGTTCTACTGTAAATATATTAAAACTTAATTTTTGATTAGTAATGTGCATTGCTAAGAACTTCATTTGGACAACTTTAAAGGCAATTTTCTCAATATTTAGATTTTTTTGCACCCTCAGATTCCAGATTTTCAAATAGATGAATCTCAGCCAAATATTGTCCTATCCTAACAAACCATACATCAATGGAAAGCTTATTTATTCAACTATTATGTATACATAAATCTCAATTTTGAAAAATTGACACTTAAGACTGGTTTTGTGGTCCATAAACATGGAAATAAAAATTAACTTGGAGAAAGAAAGAAAAAAAGAAAAAATCATCAAGTTTGCCTCCCAGAATTCCCATAGTCCCGTGTCAGCAGAATGACTCCAGTATAGTGATGGGTGATTTATCACATTGGGTAGAACTCCCCCCTTCTCTCCGCAGGATGAGAACATGTGGGTGATTTCTGTAAGGGCCTCAAACTGCCGTGCTCAGCAATTTAATTATGGAGTGTGAGATTTACATGCTTTATAAGACCATATGCCTGTATCTGCACATGTAGAACATTATAAGGGCAAATGAATGTCTTCTAGGTGTGAACTTAATTCCTTCTAGAGGGAAGAACTGATGGGCTTTTTGCAGTACTATCCTTTATGCAACTTCATTTTGTATCTGAATAATAAACGTTATAATGTCAGTAAAAACATTAAATCATATGACATCAAGTTAATACTTACACATGCTCCGTCTTCATGATTGGTCAACTCTTTCAGGATATGCTCAACATGGGCGGGGCTAATTCCAACCTCTGAGAAGCCTGACACTCTGTCATACACCATGTCTAAATGAGCTCTGACCTACAACACAGAGGAACACAGCCATTACAAATACTGCTCATACAGACCAACACACACATCTGCTGAATTCTACATCCAACAAGCCACACACACACACACACACACACACTTAAAACTAACAATGCACAATCTATCTGTATCAAAACCACTATCCATAGTTATAAATTGGCTGATATTAGAATTACAATTTACATTTTTTTTTTCATTCAAACAAAATAGAACATGAAAACTATTTTATAATTTTAACTATTTTAATTGTATAATTATATAATTGTATAACTGTATAATTAAAATGAATAATTTTATAATAATCAGTTTATCCAATATTCTCCACTACAACTAAAACCATGAACAAATTATATTAAACTTTTAACTATGAATTAACTAACTGCCTATTAATCCCTTAATTGAAATAAAGCTGAAATAAAATATAAATATTAGATGAAAAACTTAAGCTAAACATTTTGAAAAGTTACCTTGGCAACTAACTGAAATAAAATAAAAGTTTAAGTGTAAGTACTAAAATTACTAAAACCGAAAAATAAATAAAGCCAAATATTTAAAAAACAAAAACTAATAAAAATGACAAAAGCAAAACTACAGTTAAATGAAACGTGAAAATATAAAAATAAAAGCCAGTTCAGCATATTAATAAATACTATAAAAGTACACAAATAATACTAAAATAACACTGGTTTATCTATACATCCCTACAGATATTTAAGATGCAGCAGTCTGTGTATCTCACCTCCCTGAAGTTCTCCTCAAAATGCCGCAGTTGTAGACATTGCTCTAGCTTGGTTTGATGTTTATCCCAAAAATCATCAAATGCTGTTTCAGTCTCATCTAACTGCCCAAGCAACCTAGAAAGAGAGATATTAATTTTAACTGAAAAAAAAAACACTTCTTGAAAGACAAAGGACAAAACATCTAAAAAAAAATAGAACAAATTATTTGTTTTGTCATCTGAAACGAAAGATAGCTTCTGAAGTCCTGTAAAAATCAGTAAAAATCCTGCCCGCTGTTACTGCTCTAAAAAACTCATGCTGTATGTTGTATGACAGTAGTACCCATAAATAAAACCCTCAAACAAATATAGCTGCATCTAGATAATAAAGGATGACAGCAGACGCCTGTGGATATTAACACACAGGCACGTATCCAGACCCCAGAATGCTGCTTCACTGAAAGGTCATGCGAGTAGAACTGGATTTCAATACGTTCCTGTTGGTTAATGCTCTTTATACATGTGCGTGTGTAGATTTGCTGTATAATCTTGACCAGGTGGGTCATCTTGTTGTGTCTCGTTGTGCATGCAAAAACACAGCTGCCCAGAACAGCTTAATAAGGACAGAAACCGACCAAGGACATGCAACAGTCTGCTGCTGTACTGTAACCGTCTGGTCTCTCATTTTTGCATTTCAGCACGGTAGATGATATCACACACACACCTCTGAACAGTAGCCAGGTTCTCCAGTTCATCATGGTTCATTGTGTAATCTGGATCTTTCACCAGTGGCTCATTGATGCTCTCCAGCAAACGTGATCCCTGACAGAGAGCAATCCTCAAGTCCTCCTGCACACACATACACACACACACACACAGCGACATGAAATAAACATACTATTCAGGCTGAATGATGAACTATGAATTATTTATGTAAACTTAAGGATTGCTTATAGCTTATGGCCATGTGAATAATCCATGTTAAATTATTTATGATCATACTGCACCCCTTGTTAAGGACTAAGACCTATAATGAAACATAGTATAATCTTTATAGCATGCCTGACTCTGACTGCAGCATTCTGCAAAAATTATTTTGTATAGTGACTGCTAAACTGTATAAAATGTATGTATATTGTATGTAACTATTTGGTATTATTTTTGCATTGTATATAATTATGATTTTTCAATGTTTTTGAAAGATCCTTACCAAGGCTGAATTTATTTGATCAACAATACTTTCACAAAACTGCACGGGGACACGAAGGCTGAGGATCCCAGTGCAGTAGTTTATTAGAGGAATAATCCACAATCGTAGTCAAAACAATAAGCAGTCCAAACAATGACAGAGTTCAGGGCTGAGGCAAACAGAGTAATCCAGATAAAACAGGCAGTATATCAAGCAGGACATGAGCGAACCAGAATAAAAGGGTTAGAACTGCAGCTGTGACACATGCAAGACTTCGCCAAGAGTGACTGAAAACCCCAGGCTTTTATAGGCAGAGGTAATGAGCAACAGGTGAAAACAATCACGATGAGTCCGGGCAATGGATTATGGGAGATGTAGTCCAGGATAGAGTGGTAAAGGTAGGGGATGGAGTGCCCTCTGGTGGCTATCAAGGGCACTCCAGCTGGTGATCGTTACAAATACAGTGAAAACCGTAATATTGTGAAATATTACAATTTAAAAGATGTGACAGTAAAGACATATTTCTATTTAAAAAAAATAATGGCAGCTGAAAGTTCAGCTTTGCCATCAGGAAAAAGTTTCATTTTAAAATATATTTAAATAAAAATGTATTTTAAGTTGTAATAATATTTCACAATTACTGTTTTTACTGTATTTTTAATCAAATAACTGCAGCCTTGTTCAGTATTTTTCGTCCATTTATTTATTTGCGAAGTAGCTGTGTTTTAGCAGGATAATGTACATTATTGTCTAGTATGCTGACATGAAGTTTTACTGGGTTTTCTGACCTTCATTGTGTCCTTCTTCTCTGTGTGGATGGTTAGAAGGTTGGACGTGGCCTCAACGTCATTGGGCAGCTCTGTCTCTGCCAGTTCTGTCCCAAAAGACTGGAGAGTCTGTGCCGTTTTCTTCACCATCAGAGCAAAACCTTCAATGGCCTACAGGCACAACACAAACCAAGAGACACATATGCCACACCAATCACACAACAGCAATATCCCCTAACACAAATCACACTAATGGCTGAGTGTGCAACAAATAAGGACCATCCACAAGCACTGCAAACAAATGTGCTGTCCTTAAAACACAGCAGCCACAGATCAATACAGACAAATCAATTACTGATTACTTAAAAGCAAGTCCACAAATGGAATGAGAAGAAAGAAAATTAATTTGCTTGAGGTGAAGACAACATCCTCCTGGAAAGCTTGTTTGTTTAATATCACATTATAATGATGAAGCACCAAGATTTAAGATATGTTTGGCATTTTATAGCATTCTATCATACTACTATTAAGTATGCAGTATGAATATAGTATTATTAACATTTCCACTTTCACTAACTGCATTTTCAAAATGTACTGAATTCACCTGTAGCATACTGCATATAAGTATCTCTCATAATGCAACTTGTCCTTCCATTTTGTGAGTGATGAATGGGACAAGACGTAGGACAATATTAACTATGATTTATTATAACTATGTATTTTGTGAATTGATGCCATATTACCATATTTGTACTACCATTTAAAAGTTTGGGGTCAATAAGATTTGAAAGAAATGAATACAGCAAAGACTTTTATTCAGTATCATTGTATTTTTTATATAAATGCAGACTTGCAAAAAAAAAAAAAAAAAAATCTTTCTGACCCCAAACTCTTGGTCAACAAGTAAGTACAATGTCCTTATTATAATAACTAGTTATTAAACCATAATAGTCTTAGGCCATATTAAATTCAAGTAGTAACCACATATCACTCAGTATCTCAGTGTGCTTATTCAATCTCTGTGTGCATTATACATCCAACCAGTCCTGTGTCCACTTTTCATTTCTGTGGTCCACCCATCAGTACCATAGTTAAAAACAGGAGTGTACTCACGGTGCGGTGTGAAATCCATTTCTCGTGGCAGTACTCCTGCGTGCCGCCCAGTTCCTGAGTGAGCTGTGTGCGGTCGATGTAACTGTGGAGCTCAGTCACAGAGCTGAGCATGATCACCTACACACACACACAGTACATAATGTAGAGCATTCTCTTGCGTCAGTATATAATCCATCTCATTACGCTCTTCATTAACCACATGCCTCAGTGTGGGAGTTTGTGCCTTGTGTGTGTACACTTACCGGCACCTTCATTTTAAACTCATCCTTGTTTAACTTAAAAAAGATGTCTGAGATTGTCCGCTGGAAGAGTGCTGTGGGTCTCAGTACCAGCACCAGCTGCAGGTTGCCTGGGAAAGAGCCCTACAAAACACACAAATACACTAAGAAAAACATCCAACAACAGTCAAGCCAAATTAAATCGAACCATTGCTTCTTGACCATTTAGACAAAAAATTTAATAAAATAATTTCATCAGGCTTTTATGGGTCATTTAGCATGTTATAGTAAGAATATGGAGCTCATACTCCAAGAGGAAAAACGCCTCAGAGGCCCAAACTGAGCAAAGATATTTAATTTATTGCAGATGTTATTTATATTTCCAAAAAGTGAGACGAAATTCTGATAGCTTGTAGGTAAATCAATGAGATCTACGACTACTTACATCAAATTACTTGCGTAATACTTACATAATATATAAACACGAGTTGTCGCTTTATATCTCCTAATATGTCTCAATAAGATACTGTTTAAATGCTTAGTTTTATGATTAAAGCTCTGTAGTTTGTTTGTTTTTATTGAGGGGGAAAAAACATAAAATGCAATGCAGAACGATGATTGAAAGCCTGATTGCAAAACCTGATTTTGATATGATACTCAAATTTTGACATGATTTTTCTAAAAATGATGTATGAATAATCAAATAAACAAAAGTTGCTTCAGTCCAGTAAATGTTCATCTTGAAATATTACTAACAATTTAAAAAGTTATTCTTACATTTCCTTTATAAACATTTGTAAAAACTGCAAAAAACACACATGTACCACAAGCTGAAAGTGGAAGGTTTTTGATTTATAATAAAAGGCCTTTTACTTTCTAAAAAAGTATAAGCTATCAATCAGATGACAGAATGCATGTAGTAGATTGAGTACAATGGGTTTTTGCAAGCAAGTTGATCAGGATAATTTAGTGGCTTTAAAAGTTTGTGTATCAAATATGATGCAGTAGGCTTTATAGGGTTAATACCTAGCTTATGTTAGTGAGCCATTGCATTTGACTGGTACAGCCTCCCTCCCACGGTCTGCATCCACACACACCATCTATATTCTGTTGCCATGACAACTCAGTTCCTTGAGAGACTAGAAAGGCTAACAATGGCTAACATATGTCTACCTCCCTGAGCTCTCTCTCACTCTCTCTCAGTGATTGCATGAACACACACACACGCCCCTCGTGGAGTTCTTATGTTTATAGACTCTTCATTAAAATGCCTCCCTACTGGGTACTGCGTAAAATCAAAAATATGTCTGGAGATCAATACAGAGCTGTGATGTTTGCGTGAATTGTGGTGTGGATCTCCTGACAGAAGAAGACCCAGCAGCCCCTCTGTCTCAGCGTAACTGACAGTGAGGTGGTCAGTAAGCAGTGAAGCAGAAGGAGAGGCTTTACAATGTGACACCGAGAACTGATTTAAAAACTGTTGATGCTGCATTAATATTCATCTATTCATTAAAAACTACTGGTGTAACAATTTAATCAGGTTTACTCCGTCAACTATTTGATATTTGAGGTCTCTTATGCTCGCCAAGGCTGCATGTACTTGATCAAAAATACAGTAGAAACAGTAATATTATTACAATTAAAGGGGTCATATGATGCGATTTCAAGTTTTCCTTTCTCTTTGGAGTGTTACAAGCTGTTCGTGAATAGATAAGGGCATCACGATATGGTAAGGGGCTTAACATTTCCGTCACACGCTTGAGGTATTCAGCCAATCACAACGCACTGGATAGCTGGCCAATCAGAGTGCACCTCACTTTTCAGACCGATGAGCTTTGTAAAAATCGATGCGTTTCAGAAAGGCGGGGCATAGAGGAGAAACAATAATGTACAGTATGTGGACAATAATGTCTTTTTTTAACCTTAAACAGCATAAACACATTTCATTACACCAAATACACAAAATAATGTTCTTTTTAGCAGCATCATATGACCCCTTTAAAATAACTAATTTCTATTTTAATAGGTTTTAAAATGTAATATATTCCTGTGATGCAAAGCTGAATTTTCAGCATCATTACTCCAGTCTTCAGTCACATGATCCTTCAGAAATCATTCTAATATTCTGATTTGCTGTTCAGGAAACATTTCTTCTTATTATGAAGGTTTAAAACAGTTGAAAACAACTAACAATAGAATTTCTAGTATAATTTAAAATAGCATTTATTTGAAAATCATTTAAATGTCTTTTCAATTTAATGCATCCTATCTGAATACAAGTATTAATTTCTTTAAAGAAAATTCTTGCGGACTATAAACATTTTGACAGTGCCATTTCACCACATATACATGCATACATTTAGGGGGCTCATCCAAAATAAAAATAAAAATTATCATTACATAAATTATTTATAAATTAACAGTTCAGCTCTCCTTAACAAGTCAGTGTAGCCCAAACAGTGCTGGTTTAATCCAAAACCCCAAGTATGTGATATAGTAACATTAATTAAAATTGAATTTCATTAGTATGTTCCAACTGCCCAGTCACTCTGATCACAGATTTAAAGTGACGAGATGCACAGTAGGGATTTGTCATGAACACTTGAGCCGTCCCAAGAATCAAAATCATGTCCTTACAGTTCTGCAGGAATCTGCCAACATGAGCTAATCCTACAGTGGGCTGATCTCACAGTCTGCCATTCTGAAACGCCTCCAGCTTTGGGTTTCGAGAAAAATTTTATTACCCTGCCCCCCTTTTTTTCTTGGACAGTGCTGTTGTTTGTTTTCATTCGCATCTAACAATTAGGGAAATGTGAGATTCAAGGGCTAACAAGAATAATTAGCATGGCAACTGAATATTTGGTTGCAGAGTGGACCTCAACACAAACGAGATATGATTAATTAACCTCAGACCTGAAATTGAACATATTTGGCACATAACTCATCAAGTTTTGATTGGACATTAAAGCATCCGGCTTGCTGAGTTAAAAAGTAGCTACCTAACAACCACCTAAACACTCTAGCAACCACATAGCAACAAATTAACTGATAAAATTACAGAATTTACATAATTGCATTGTACTCTTTGTATTCAATGTCCAAAACAACTGTCAAATCCAAATGAGCAAAAGATTTCCCATTTATAATGCCCATAAAAACGCAGTTAGTTCCATTAAAAACCTCCTGTTTGATTGCTGACAAAAGAGTCAAATTGAATCCCGCCTTTATATTACCATGACAATATCCTGTTCCGCTGAGGCAGACTGGCCATGCTTGTCCCCATGCAATAACTAAAGAGTCACAGGGGTCGGCTCTGCGCACAACAGGAAGTCAGAGAAACACACCCCATTATTGAGTCCTCCATTAAAGCTCATTCAAGCAGATGTGACAAACACAGCTCCTCTTTTAGGAAGCTTTAGTAAACCGCTGTGTGTCTGTGATTGTATTACACGATCGCCTTGGGCCTCTCATAAAGACTGCAATTACAAGATAACATACCAGTGTTCTCTTTTAGCTCAGAAAATGAACTGAACTAATTGATATAGACAATGTTTTCCCAAATATGATGCAATCATGAAAAACATTACACAGAAATCTGTCCTACTCATTAATACAATGGCGTTGATGTTGCACTGAATATATGGTCACCCTCCCTTCCCTCATTCTCACTTTACTCACGCCTTTATTATGTATGTGTGTTTGTGTGTGTGTGTGTGTGTGTGTGTGTGTATATAAAGACTGCAGTGGGTTCGTCTGCCTACAGTAAGATTTCAAAATATAAATGTAAAACACAGTAATACACATGTGTATTGATTTTGAAAACTGTATATAAATTGTCCAAATTTGAAAAGGCATATAAACAGCCAAAATATCAAATATCACACTTTCCAGAAATGGAACAGGGATATTCCAGGATATAGAGAGTGAGAACAAGTGTGAGATGAAGAAAGGAATTACTATGGGGGGTGTAACTCAGTGTTCTCCTAGGAAAGCCATGTGTGTGTGTGTGCGTAAGGAGGTGGAGAAACCGAGTCTCTAGGGATCAGCTGCCACGGCACTGATATACCACAGACTAATCAGACACGTGGCACGTGAAATTCAATTAACGTACACACACACATACACACACATTTCCAGTCCATACACTCACTGCATTTCCTAATTCAATACACACAATTGAATAATTTTTTTGGGTTAAATTGGAAAGTAAAATGAGGCACACCCCAGAGAAATACACATCTAACTCATCAAGGCTCTTTATTTCCAACAAAAATGGAAACACTCCAATAAATAGCAAGGGACTTAAATCCCAGTGTCCCTGATGCTCATCTCAGTGACCTTTCACCTTTCATTTTTCACTTCAGGACTACCCTCAGCATGCTTCACTCTTAATAACTGTGGATGGACTTGAGAAACCCAGGGAGGTGTGTCCGAGACACTGATGGAGTGAGTGAGCACCAGGAGAAAAAGTTTTGGTAACACTTTCTATGAAGCCCATATTTAAAATGTTCACTGTGAGGCTAATATTAATTTTGATGTGAGCTAGTTAATAATTTCAACTGAAAAAAAATGCAATGCTTATGTTAGGTTACATATATAAGCAACTTTGCATCTACATGTCAACTAACTCTCACTAGAGTATTAGTAGGCTTAGGTTAAGGTTAGGGTAGGTAGAATGTTGACTTGACATTGTTTATTTAAGATCTGCACAGTATCCCAGGTGTGGAGTGTTATTTGAGTGTTCACTGTGAGGCTAATATTAATTTTGATGTGAGCTAGTTAATAATTTCAACTGAAAAAAAATGCAATGCTTGTTAGGTTACATATATAAGCAACTTTGCATCTACATGTCAACTGACTCTCACTAGAGTATTAGTAGGCTTAGGTTAAGGTTAGGGTAGGTAGAATGTTGACGTACTTGCAAAGTTACTTATAGTCAGTATGTCTGTTGGGGAACCATCAAAATAAAGTATTGGCATATATTTAGCAGACATACTGCTAATACTCCAATGACTGCTAGTTGACATGTAGTTGCAGAGTTACTTATCAACAGCTGTCTAAAGGGAACCATCAAAATAATCAAACTGATTCGATAAAAATAGTTCAAAACAAATGTGTCATATTACACATTCATCTGATCTCAT